TTTTTTTCTTGCTGTCATGTATCGCCATTGTCCGGACAGGTTCGGCCTTTTGATGGTGGCGTACGAGTCGGAGCCATCAATCAAAATGTCAATAACGGAAAATGATTGTCTATGTGGTTACACGGTAAAAGTAGGTTAATGGCAATACGGGTAAACCATGAAGACAATCTAGTAGTCAAGATCATCAAAGATCAGAACTGGCCTCTCAAACGAATGAAAGGAGATACTTCATGGAATCCCGCACTCAGAAATAGAAAAGTGCTGGAATATAGAGACGCTATCCAGTTGCCATAATAATTGACAGGCCAATTTTTCTTCTTTGTACACTAATTCAAGGGTTCGGATGGTTGATGAAGTAAAATGGATAGTCTTCTCAAAAATAAAAAAAAAACAAAAACCACCAGCCCATCAAGTTCATCTGCCCTATGTAAACCCATTTTGTTCCCCTCCATTGAAAATTCGAGAGCAAAAGGAGCTCGGGGAGTTCCAACGTACCATTGAAACGTCACTTCAGGCTTAGGTAATATTAGTAACATGAAGATAAACTTTCCTATTTTTTGGATGAATGTTTTCCATATTAGGTCCGACTTCAAGTTACAACATCAGTTCCAGGAAAGTTCCCTGCTTATTAGCCCTGAGCTTAAATTTCCTTTGTACGACGAACAATTGTAAAATATCTTTGTTAAAGTCGGCCAAAGGTTTTAGGGATTGTATGATCAAAGTCATGAACGAATAAAGTTGTGGAATAGGCTGAGCACAAAAATCACTGTGAACAGAAAATGAAAATCGACAAAAAAACAAGTTGATAGTAGAAAAAAGTAAAACATAACAACAGAAACAAAATTATTCCGAAAATTCCGGAGAAAGCAGAAATTCCTGGAATTCCTGGATTCTCCTGACTATAGAGCTAAAAACCCCATGAATTCAAAAGACAGATTCCGAAAAAATGACTGGATCAGTTCGATAATGTGAAAATGTCCTCAACTCATTCTACTCAGCACTCTGCGGTGGAAAATTACTGTCTAGTTGGATTGTTTTACTTTGGACATGGTCCCGTTTCCAAGTCCCATAGGTGAATGGTTGGTGTGCCGACAAATCAGAACCATGTTACTAAGTTGTTAAGACATTCGAGCCAAGAAAAACTTTTATACCAGTAATTTACCTCGAATTAGGATTGTGCAGACGAGTGCGAACACCACCCGCATAGGAGCGACGTAAGAGAAGTGGTACTGACCCCAATCTCAACGGCCGTACGATCAATAGCCGTCAGAAAAGAACTCGGAAGGTGACGAAGGACACTGGGCAAAAGAGTCCCTGCTGAGGGGGTCATTGCCAACCTTGACATGCTCCCCGCCGAACACATGCACTTGGCACACCATTCTCGAGATGACGTTTCTCCTCTAGTCGGCTACTATTCGGTAAACAATTAGATCGTTGCTACGACAATTTATGATTTACCTCTCAATTACTTTAACCCACCGTAAGCATTTTCTGCCCTCCACATTTGGAATTTCCACAGTTACCAGTGGTCACGGTAAAGGGATTCCTGAAAGATTGCGAACTCTGTTTGTAGTATTGGTTTACTGAGATTTCTTCACCTATGTAGAGGCCGTTACTCAAGCCCTTACTTACTTGTGCTTCCCGCGACCTTAGTACATATTTGTTTACATCCTAGGGCGACTCTGGAAAAGAATCATTTTTTATATCAATTTTTTTTATTCAAATGAGCCCCTAAGTTGTGACCGCATTGGAGTTTTGAACTGTAGCATGACCCAACGAAACCCACCACTTACAATTTTCCTTCGATGTTATTTACTAACAAAAAAAGTCTTGAACGTTGTGATGTTTATTTGTTGATTTATTTTATTTATATGTTGCCGCTGTTGTTCCTTTTCCTAAGTTTCGAAGTAACGCTTACAATGTACACTTGTATAGTCTGCTAAGCCCTTCATCATGATGCCTCTCTCTCGAGGGCACCTAAATATCGAAGTTTCTAGTTTGGAATCTCGACAGTGCTTGGCTTTTTTCCTAAACGAGTATGATGGTCATGACGTCATTATAATTTTTATTATTTAAATGCTCATTTTCACACTAGTATTCAATCGATTGTGTTCATCATATACTTCTAGAATGCATATAAACAGTACGATGATAACAAATCAAAAAATAAGATCACAAGTGGGGTGTAGGTGATGAACCTAAGTAGACACTCGTAAGAAGAGCACAGGTGCAAGGCTATATGGAACAAACCGGATTCTAAATGTATACATCACCGGTCATATAACTAGACGAGAAGGTGACAGTGATAGGAAGGTGTGAGACTCGAAATTTGAGAGGAATCTCCATAGGGTTGTGAGTAAAGCCTCTGTAAATTGCAGTAATATGAGCTTTCCCTGATGGGAAGCCATCGCTACATTTAGAGTCCTAGTGAAGAGATTCAACAAGAGCATAGCTTCCGGTGAAAAAGTTAATTGAGGAAGGGGTGGGGTTGTAATGTGGCAACATTCCCTCCAACGCTAGGGCGTATAGAGGAAGGGGTAGCCGGTTCTGCAAGCCTGTAATGGTGCTTAGAAATGAATGAATGAAAGTGGCTAGAAATTTTTCTAGCCAAGGGAATATAAATTTTCAACTAATCCTAAGAACGGTAGGTGGATGAAGTTAGATGATGGAAGTGGTAAGTTTTCCCCGAAAATCGCGAAGCGCTCGCCGCACGCGATCGCGCGCAGCCGCGCGCTTGAAGGCAGTCGTTTGAATTTCCTGTGGAAGGATAAGGCGGACGCGAGGAAACCCCTGCCAATTGCTATGAGAATTCGGGGAGAAGTACAGCCACCCCTCTTTCTCCATAGAAAGCATCATTACAGGCCAGCAGAGCTGCCTAATCCTACTTTCCTTCTCAGGACTCTAGTGCCTGGTGGTGAAAAAAACCGGTGGACCCTTTCCCAACTACATTTTCACCTAGCTTTTCAATGAAATAATATAAGTGAATGGGGTTTTCCGAAGACTAGCTCATTCGAAACCGAGTAAATGAGTGACTACAACGAGACATTGCAAAATTGAATATCTAGTAATTATGCGATGATGAAAGTAAAAAGCCGACTGTAAAGAGTTCATCTTCATTAAAGCCACTTCTGATGAGGTCTCAATCACTGGCGCTGGTAAGCTGAGTCGCTGATGTCTAAAGAATATATTATTTTATTATTATAAAGAATATTCAATAAGAAGTTGGAGAGGAATAGGAAAAACAAGGTAAACAAAAAAAAACAGGAAAAGAAAACATACAGGCAACTGATTCCGTCCCGAATGCGCTTTTTGACGTTTCAAATCTTCGGAAATCAGCGCTAAAAGTAGAATCGATTAACTGCATAGGAGGAGTTCCCCATGAAAACTTTATCTAATGATTCAGTAAAGAAAAGGAGTACTGTGAGACAATACTTTTAATTAGTCTCCTTTCTTTGCCTGAAGGATCTACAATACGCCGCAGCTGTCGCTGAAATTTTCACCAACACCCCTCAGGCGCAACCTTGCCATGTTCAATGGAACGAACCTTCGTAGGATTTACTCAGGTTCAATAGTAAAGGTGGAAATCAATGAGATAAGAGCTAGGTCTAGAGCCAAGCAAGAGAAAGCGAGTGATGTGGGTAGTGAGTCAGGAAGTGCCATAGCGGCCGCGCGGAAAAACAGGTCAAATATGAAAGAATTCTGATTCGCTTGACGAAAGGGCATTCTTGACCAGTACCTCTTGAGCTCACGTTCCACTTTTACAATAGTCCCTGCTTAAGGGTACGTTTTTAAAAGTTGGAAGTTGATTACGGGATATATATGTAGATGAATAAGCATAACAGACAATCGACATTAACAGGTAATCAATTCAGTGGAAAAGGCAGGCATGAAACTTGTAGGATGTGGAGAGGACGAGGTTAGTTGGGAACTAAGGAGTAGGAGAACTGCATAATGAGAAAGAGGCAGGAAGTAGGTTAACGTCCGCTGCCTGCTTATCTTCAGCGAGAGAGTGTGAATACAGTCGGCTTCCGGCCCGTAACCTCGACTCCTCCTCGGAGGACTGTTCTCGAATGGGTTTGCCCGTGGTAGCGTGGCATGTTCTGCCAGTTCTGGGATGCTCACCCCGCTGTCTATCGCGAGAGGAAGACAAGTGGACTCAGCCAAGCGGAGAAGGGCTGTACCAGAAAAGTACGGCATGCGTCTCTTACCTGTCGAAGTTGAAGGTGGATCGTACTTGTATCATTGTTCCCTACCGACGCATAACATAAACACTTGGAAAGGTAGAGCGTGGAATTCTCGAAGCTGTATAAGAATTGGGAAATCAAGTCTACCAGTAACTTATACCACTATCGGACAGATTACTCACATCCCGATATCTATTGCTGATGACCTAGCGCAGCTTTGACTTTTGTAACGTTGTTGGAATTTTGACGTACTTACCTTACCTCCATCGAATGCAGCTTATTTTTTGGAGTAACGTTTTTTGATGTTACCCAGAATGTTTTCTGATGAAAAGCGATTTCCTACCTGTGAGGATCGTGCCAACAAGCAATGCCAAGCTCATAATGATGTTACTAGAGAGCGTATTAACACTATGCATCACTTTACCCATTGCCATTGTGAGGAGAATGCCGAAAACCTGAAATGAGTAAAATTCAGAAGCTGTCCCGTGGCATTCCAATTTCATTTATGCAAACTTTATTACTTCTAGAAAGTAGTTCCTTCGCCTGGAACCTATCCCTATTTTGGCACATTTCCTACTTCACAAGGAGTTTATTGTAGACCTTACATGGGACAATTTCCGGATGATGAAAGTGGAAGAAAGAGAAAGAAGCCCAACTTTCAGTATCAGGAGCATAGACGCATACATTGTACCCAGGCTGCTTACTGTAGACAGCTGTACGCACTGGCATAGGGCTCGTCCGAATACCCTCCCATGCAACTTTTTTCGTCAAATTCTCGTCCAACCCCCGATTTCACTTCTTTTTGAAACGTTCTTTCCTCTAGAATGTGGGTGCGCATCTAGACAGGTAGTGCTTGAACGGAGAGTCCCACGACTCCTTCCCAGGGTGTGGTGCGTTAGGAACGAAATGGTCGCATCGCGGTGGGAGGGGCGTCGCGCGCGAAGGAATGTAGCAGGATGCAGCAGTGGGTAAGAAATACAAGAACAAAAGTACTAATAGTAGATTTATGCATAAAATAATGATCGCATATCGATTGAGCTGTATGAAGAACGCTAGAGCTGTAACAACGACGAATGAGTGGTCCGCGACAGCCGCGCGCGGCAAATCGATTACCCAAAGTCGTTCCTAACGCTCGTCTCCCCTCCTTCCCATGAGGTCTCTAGAGAGTATTTTGGCTTGTAGGCGATAGTAGCAAGTGATACAAAGTGAGCCATAGCATTATACGTTTTTAAATAATGAAATAAATGTTAGAGAGTAGGCAAGAACCACCTGAGCACTCGCATTAAGCAGATTGCTCGTCGTGCCTTCGGCAGCAGGGAATGTGATTTCAGCAGCAAATTCGAAGCCAATCGGAAGATACCCAGTCATGAAGAACCTGGAAGATGCAGATTCTTATAGTAGCAGTGGATGACTTTGTGAGGCCAATTAGTTATGAAGGAAAACAACCCGATCACAACGATGTGTAGCTAATTATGTAATCAAAAATAGCAAATTTAAGTCTAATACTATAGATTAGCACGCCCGTGGTCACCGGTGAGATAGGGACGTCCGCTTGACTGACTTCTGGATTTTACGTTCTCATTTTTGGGTTTTTTTAAACACATAGGATGAAATGGTATACTCTTTGGGCGAATATCGATCCCGTCTGAGGGAAGCGCCCTCGCACTCGAGTTCCATTCAGAA